TCAAAACGTTGTATCGTAGGTCATACGACGGCTTGCTGCTTCGCTGTCTTTCAAAAGCAGAGGCGCAAGAAGCAGTACGCGAAGCACATGACGGCGTGTGCGGAGCTCATCAGCCCAGACCCAAACTTTGGGATCGCTTACGAAGGATGGGCTACTTCTGGCCTGGGATGGTTACTGACGCAGTCGCTTATGCAAAGCGATGTTACGAATGCCAAATCCACGCCAACTACATACACCAGCCTCCGGAAGACCTGCACCCAACGAGGGCGTCTTGGCCCTTCGAGGCATGGGGGATGGACATAGTTGGGCCAATTTCTCCACCATCGGTGAAAGGCCATCGCTTCATCCTCACGATCACCGATTACTTCTCTAAATGGGCAGAAGCCATCCCCTTAAGAGAAGTCAAGACTAGCGACGTGATCAAGTTCATTAAGCACCATGTCATATACCGCAACCCTTCAGCGAATGGTCTGGCCGAAGCTTTCAACAAGACGATCATCAAGATCTTGACCAAGCTGACTTCCACTAGCAAGCGCGACTGGGATGAAAAGCTAGGCGAGAGCCTGTGGGCATATCGCACGACGGTTCGTACACCGACTGGCACCACGCCTTACTCGTTGGTATACGGCTGTGAAGCTGTATTACCATTAGAGATTCAGATTCCATCCATCCGCGTCGCCCTAGCAACAGGGATGACGACTGAGGAAAATCACCAACTTCGACTCGCAGAGCTCGAAGCACTGGACGACAAGCGACTGGAAGCTCAGCAGCACATTGAGTTTTATCAGGCTCGAATGGCCAAAAATTTCGACAGAAAAGTCAAGCGCCGAGCCTTCAAAGAGGGAGAGCTCGTGCTCTCCGTCCGTCGACCAATGATCCTCACTTCCAAGAAGAAGGGGAAATTCCAGTCCAAATGGGAAGGACCATTCGTGGTAGAGACAGTCTACTCGAACGGCGCCTATCGCCTCGTCAAACCGAATGGCGATAAGATCATGATGCCCATCAACGGCAAGTATCTGAAGAAGTACTACCCCTAGTTCTCCTTCACCAACTCCCACGAGTGCAAGAGTCTAAACTGGCCCTCACACCCTCCAACCGGTACACGAGGCTAAACTGTTCCTACTTTACCCACTCTGGCGAAAGCCTCTGTTGGAACTCAATTCGCCTATCTTTTCCAATGAGATGGCGGATCCACTCAAGTCGTTCAGATCACGACAAACACATTCAATTCGCCTATCTTCTCCAATGAGATGGCGGATCCACTCAAGTCGTTCACATCACGATAAACACATTCAATTCGCCTATCTTCTCCAATGAGATGGCGGATCCACTAAAGTCGTTCCAATCATGACATTACCTGTCACGTTAACATTAAACCTCTGACACAATCTACTTACCAATCCTCTTCTAAAGGATGGTGGGTCCTCAAAGTCGCTCCAATCACGACATTCCCTGTCACGTTAACATTAAACCTCTGACAAAATCACTCACCAATCCTCTTCCAAAGGATGGTGGGTCCTCAAAGTCGTTCCATCACCTCTGATGATTGGCGCCGTTATCCTTATGGATAGCACAGCCTAAGTAATGGCCAACCATGCGACATGCTATTACTTCTGTCAGTAGCCACACTCCTACGTCCCTGAACTATTTGACCTATTCCAGATGTCCTAGCATTGCTTTAGGATGACTGATGGGTAGAGTCTACCAGGCGGTGACTCCTACCACAATCAATTGTCACATTCGGCGGACGCGGCAATTGTCAAAGGCGGTTCGACAGACGACCTGACCTGTCTGTCGATTCCCCAGGCAACAACTCGCCAAGAGGCGAGTTGAAGTTGAGATTCTCCAGTTGGCCGCAGGGACAAGCGATTGTTCTCCACTACAAGCCAAGTACTACCCTCTCAATCCCATGGAAGCTACAACGTGAAGATCGGAGTTGACCCGATCCCACGTTGTGAGCAACAGAGGACAAAGCAAGAGCCTAAAACGACTAAGTCAAAAGCAAGATAGTCGAGAGTTCGTCAAAATTCAACTCAGAGGCCAAACGGCACAGATAAAGAAAGAGAAAACTGTGCGAGCAAAGTAAGGAAAAGACATAACAAGCAAAAGAGGGCCATAACGGGCCAAAGTTTACACAAGTTTGTAGTTTAGTTGTGGTGCCCGAGGCACCAACTAAATTAACAAAAAAAAAAGAGGGGACTTAAACAGTAGCATTACAAGAATTTCAGCAAGCTAAAGGAGCCGATCTTAGCCTTGAGCTTCGCACGCTCCGCTGCACGACGGGTCCTCGCCTTCTCCTTTTGCTCCTGCTCCAGCCTGGCTAAATCTGCCTCGCTAGCTGCTTCCTCTTGGCGAAGGAGTTGGAGCTCTTGGTCCACCGTCGCGGCAACCCCGCTGAGCCTCTTCGCCTCGAGCTCACGCTCCCGCAACTTCGCCTCGCCACGAAGGGAGCCGGCATCCTCAAAGAAGGCCCTGTCCAGATAGGCGTCCATCCGG